TATACCTATGCCCTAAAGACATAGGTTAGAAGATTCTTATTAAAAAATTGTAAAAATTATCATTAATATTTTCATAACTAGTGCCATATGTATCATTTTAATTAAATAGTTCTTAAATAAAAATCAACTTTTACATTTTCAATACTACTTACTTTGTTTCAAAATAACTGTCATATTTTAACTTTACCTTATGTTTAGTTTGGTAGTAATAGAAGAGAAGGAAGGGGAAGGGAAATTTTCCCTTCCTCTCCCTTCATTTAAATAAGTAACCAAATTAAAAAAATAAAGAGAAAATTTCCCTTGCCCTCCCTTTTAATTTTTTTATAATTAAATAGAGAATTTTTTTTTCCTCTCATTCATTCCCTTCACTACAAACATACTATTAAGTTTGTCCTCAATTAATTGTTTTTTTTAATATTTTTTTAATGTAAACAAATATTTTTTTACTTTAATTTTATCATTATTTATTTACTTTAATTAATTATCGTATAACATAAAGTGTTACTTTATCTTTTAACTCTTTTTTTAAGAGTAATATAGATAAATATATAAATGGTCTTTGAAAATTTAATTTAGAGAAAAAATTTTAAAAATAATAATATTATGAAACAGAAAGAGTAATTAATATAAAAGATATGTAGTTTTTTTTTAATTAATTTATAGTATTTGAAAATCATATTAAACTTTAATTAATTTAAAGTTGAGTCACATCACATCAAACCTATAAAAGAAAAATTCTCATAATACTTATTTTTTTATTTACAAGACTTAATATCTTATTTAACTGAAACTGATCTTCTTCTACTTTGATCAATAAATCGTCGATATAAAAGATATATAGTAAGTGCACGTTTAAGAGCACAAATTAAGAAAAAACCTAAAACATATAAACAATAAATTGTAGACTTTGCATATGATGACATTAGAGAGTAAAACAGTAAATTGAAAACATATATATAAGAAAAAGTGTTTATCACTCTTGATTTTTAAAATAAATTAAAATTTCAACATTAAAATATGTCATTTATTTCTACCAAAAAAATATGTCATTTATTTAATTAAAATTTAATTCAAAATTTAAAAATTTATCATATTAAATGTTAATTTTTAAATTTAAAAATTGATTATATAATAATATATAATTTATTTTTAAATTTAAATATCAATATTAAA